GCAACCACGGGATACAGAACAGTGTGTGGGAGCTGGGTGGAGTGACTACTTCTGCCAGGTTGGGAAGCAACTGGTTTCGCCTTTCACTTTTTCTCCAATTTCCTAAATCAAGCAYCCAGGTACAGCTAAGCAATCCAATACAGTAGTTCCTTGGTGTCTATCGGGGATTGGGTCCAGGACTCTGGATACCAAATTTGGAGAATACCGTAATCTGTGGACGCTCAAGTCCCTTGTATAAAATGATGGGTTATTTACACATAACATGCACAGTCCTCTAGTACACTTTAAATCATCTCTGGYTTACTCAYTACCCCTGGAACATTGTATATGCTGTGTAAGTAGTTGTTATGCTGTAGCTTTCAGGAAATAACAACAAGGAAAAAAGTTTGTACATGTCCAGTACAAATGCAATTAAAAATATTTGGGGTTGGTCAAATCCACAGATAACAGAACCCGCAGATACGATGGGCTGRCTGTACTACCGTTCTGCCTTCACATGATGGCATCATTAGCTTGAGCTTTAAAAAGTAAAAATGAGGCAACCCACAGGATCTCTTGGTTACCTGCTTGGTGTTATGCTTATTTGGATTCCAACATTAGCAGAAGATGTGACTCAGTGTTTACTAATTATGTGATATATAAGATCAGAAACCAACTTATAAGAACATTTTTCAGTAAGAGTTAAGAGCCCTACCATTTTTATTAATGGCAATGGACAACTAATACTGTTTTTAAGTGTTCTTAGATACTTAGGCACRGTGGTGCACGCCTGTCATTCCAGCTGCTCAGGAGGCTGAAGCAGAAGGATCCCAAGTTCAAAGCCAGCCTGAGCAACTTAACTCAAAAACTAAAAAAAAAAAAAAAAAAAATGAAGGCTAGGGATGTGGCTCAGTGGTTAAGTATCCCTGGGTTTATATCCCAGCAACACCCCCACCAAAAAAAAAAAAAAAAAAGTTCTTAAACGTGTCCACATTTCATTTGTTCCTTGGAAATTTCAATGAAATATTCTGGAGCAAAATTTCAGCTAATGTAATTTGGGACCGTTTTGTTATTTAGTGGAAATAAACCCCAAACTTTCACCATTCTTACCTGATAGATTTGGGAATTTGTGWTTCAGATTTGCCTAACAATATTTTGTTGATGAATAATGATGGTATCTAACATGATTTGTTGACAAATGAATTCATTTTATAGGGATTTGCACAGCCAAGTCAAAAATTTTGAAAAGATGGCTGTTTAACCATACAGCTGTTTATGAATTCAGTGCATAAGTATTTCCCCCAGTTCTTGTTATATTGACATTGCCTATGTTGGGTGCAAAGGTATAAGAATGTGAGCCCATTGGTACTCATGAATTGATAGTGGATATTATGGACTTAGTGATGCTGAAAAAAAATCAGATTYACCATGCTAATGTTTGTAAAAGAGGACTTACAATTACATTATGGTACTTGAGAAGGTGTAAATTCTTGCCTGGTTTATGTCTTCCTGCTATACAGCAAAGACATAATGATCCCTTTTCATTACTACAATGGTTCATTCCCAAGTTGTGTTGGAATCAGCTGATATTTACTCCAGGGAGACAATGGTGTGCATCTRTTTCTATATGTTCAGTGACCTGCATTTTGCGAACCCACATTTTGACATGTTGGATATATTTTCGCCGTGCAATTGGAAATGCTAACAAATCAGACACCCTTCAGAGCTAGCTGATAAACATTCACCAGCACATCAGTGTTTGTTCTGTGCCACCACTCACTCTAATGGCTTTGTTGCTTCACTGCCATTGGAGGCAAAGGAGTCAGGAATAGAGGCTGGGGAGTCAGGAGTTAGACATTTGAATTGGGATGTAGATTCCTTTAAGTAGCTCGGTGACCTTGAACAAGTAACATAACCTTTAATACCCATTTTATTAGTAAAATGTAGTTGCTATAGGATCCCTATCAGGGTTATGACTATAAAATGATATCATGTAGGGCTGGGGATGTGGCTCAGGCGGTAGCGCGCCCGTCTGGCATGCGTGCGGCCCGGGTTCGATCCTCAGCACCACATACAAAACAAAGATGCTGTGTACGCCAAAAACTAAAAAAAAAAAAATAAATATTAAAAAAATTCTCTCTCTCTCTCTCTCTCACTCTCTCTCTTTCTTAAAAAAAATGATATCATGTATGATAAGCATGTAACAGTGTCTGATACACACTTATTGTTCAGTAAGTGGTATACATTAGGTCAGTTTTTCCAGTACCAATATTCATTCAAACAATATATATAGAAAGGCTATTTACAATGTGCTTTGTGTCCTACATGGATTTATTCATTCCTTCCTTTATTTTTGGTGCTGGGGATAGACTCAGGGCCTCACTCACCTACCTGTCTTCCTAAGTATCCCRTCATTCTTCCATTTCTCTTCCTTCACAAACAAACACAGAGTCTTCTTCCCAGCACATTGCTGTCTCTCTTCTGTCCCTGGCACGTGACTCTCTGAGGTGTGACAAATGTGTAACAAGAACTCCAAGATGACTCAACCTGATAGCTGCTGCTTTTATGTGCCTTGAGGCCAAGAGAGAAAAGCTTGACTTCCCAGAGTTAATCATCTAGCAAAAGTGTGGCCCAGGGTCACAGCCCTGCACTGCAGGAAGCGGGCTTCCTGGGTGCCCGCTTGGTACCATGCTCAGAAGGGCATCTCACCCATGTGGAACTTTCTCCTTCAAACTTCCTGTATTGTGAAAAATGAGGAAAAGTGGGAATGTCAGGTTCTTACAGGGACAGGTGGCACTGAGATTGAAATAATTATGAATAAAAGTATTTGATGTAAGGGCGGTGGCTATTGACCTCTTTATGCTCCTCTTTGAATGTTAAGTGTTCTGCACACACAAGCTTCTCCTGGAATTCTTCAGCTACTTTGAAGTGTGTCTTTTCAATGTGATTGGTTTTTCAACACATAAATTTTGGAGCTATTTTTATATGTGGAAACACTCAAAATGGGTACAAGTTGTTTCAAATTGAGAGCTCTTTTATCTTCAACTTTCCATTGGAAAAGTTCCTTATGAGGAACCTAAAAATGTAAAAATTTAAAATTTGGCAATAAGGAATAGAAAATAGAACATGTCAAATGCTATTTCCCAAGTTATCTAATTAATCAAATGAATGTATCTGAAAAAAATATTTTATAGAGACTTTTTTGTTCAAATAACTTACCATAATATATTCTTTTTTTTAGAGAGAGAGAGAGAGAGAGAGAGAGAGAGAGAGAGAGAGAATTTATTTATTTATTTTTTAAGTTTTCGGCGGACACAACATCTTTGTTTGTATGTGGTGCTGAGGATCGAACCTGGCGAGCGCACTACCGTTTGAGCCACATCCCCAGCCCCACAATATATTCTTAATATACCCCATTGTTTCAATAAAGCACTAGTTGTGATCACTAATATTGCCAAACTTTTCATCACTGTGTCTTCAGAAGCATAAAATTTGTGCATAAACCCAGTCATTAAAAGATCAAAGTGTTTTTGTATTTAATATCTCAACATAGAATATTCAGTTTTTATTTTCWATATAAAATTCAATTCTTTACAAAGAATGAATGCATATCAAGTGTATGAGTTTCCATCATTTGAGAAACTGCAACACCACTCACTTTAAGCATTTACCCTAGCTTTTATGCTATGGAAAAAATGTAATCTCTCAATGATGAAAAAATAAATTTTAGGTTTTTCAGTGCTCAAATGAAAATACATTAGAACAAAATCAGTCCATACCCTCAGAATTCAATGTTGTTGAACATMCAAAAGAAACACAATATAAAAAATTTTTAATTTGTTCTAATTAGTTTTACATGACAGCAGAATGCATTTCAAATCATTCTAAATGGAGCACAACTTCTCATTCCTCTGGCTGTACATAGTACAAAGTCACACCACTCATGCAATCGTACATGTACAAAGGGTAATAATGTTTGTCTCATTCCACTGTCCTTCCTATTCTTACACCTCTCCCCTCTTCTCACTCCCCTCCGCCTAATCCAAAGTTTTTCCATTCTTCCTTATCCTCCTCACTCCCCATTATGGATCAGCATGCACAYATCAGAGAAAACACTTGGCTTTTGGTTTTTTGGGATTAGCTTACTTCACTTAGCATGATATTCTCCAACTCCATCATTTATTTGCCAATGCCATAATTTCATTCTTCTTTAAGGCTGAGTAATATTTCGTTGTGTATATATACCACATTTTCTTTATCCATTCATCYGTTGAAGGGCATTTAGGTTCCATAGTTCAGCT